AGAGACGGGGTTTCACCATCTTGGCCAGGCTGGTCTTAAACTCCTAACCTTGGGATCGACCCACCTCGGCCTCCCAAAGTGCTGGGTTTACAGGCGTGAGCCACCGCGCCTGGCTGATACTATGGTCTTTACTGGCTCCACCCGCAAATCCCTCCAACGCCAAGGGGAGAGTTCTCTGGACTGCCCCTGATCCCTGTTTGGAAGCCTAGTCCCCAGGTCACATGTTCGGTGGCTATTTTGGTCTTTGGCAGCTTCAGGTAGAATACAGAACATCAGAAAGGCATCTGAGCTGGCCATGGGAATGAGGTCCAAGTGAAGTGGGAGAAGAGAGCCGATCAAAACACTCACCTGGCCGGGTGCGGTGGCTCACGCTTCCAAGCACTTTGGGAGGCCGAGGCGGGCGGATCACCTGAGGCTAGGAGTTCGAGACCAGCCTGGCCAACCTGGTGAAACCCCGTCTCTACTAAAAATACAAAAATTAGCCAGGTGTGGTGGCATGCGCCTGTAGTCCCAGCTACTCGGGAGACTGAGGCAGGAGGATTGCTTGAACCCGGGAGGCGGAGGTGGAAGTTGCAGTGAGCTGAGATCACGCCACTGCACTCCAGCCCGGGTGAGCGAAACTCCGTCTCCAAAAACAAAACAAAACAAACCCCACTCACCTGAAGTCAGGTTCTATAACCCCAATGTGTCATACGTGCCTGGGGTGGAGCACGTGCGTTGCTAGACGTCATGGATATGGAGAGAGGGAAGTGACAGCAGATTTTAGTTTCCTCAATTGCGCTGGGAGGAACAAAACCTGCAGAGCCAGCGGTGATGGGGGAAACTGAGTCATGCCCCGCTGCCCCAGTGACTGGCATCAAGGCTAATGTTCACTGGTAGCCCTAATCGTGCCTGGCCATGTTTTGTTTTTTTGTTTTGAGATATGATCTTTCTTTGCCTCAAAGGCTGGAGCACGGTGGCGCTATCACAGCTCACTGCAGCCTCCACCTCCTGGACTCAAGCCATCCTCCCACCCCAGCCTCCCAAGTGACTGGGACTACAGGCTTGTGCCACCATGCCTAGCGTGGAGGAACTTTTTTTTTTTTCTTTTTTTGAGACAGACTCTTGCTCTTCACCCAGGTTGGAGTGAAGTGGCACAATCTTGGCTCACTGCAGTCCGTCTCCCAGGCCGAGATCGCGCCATTGTGCTCCAGCCTGGTGACAGAGCGAGATTCCATCTGAAAAAAAAAAAAAGTTTCAAATTGGGTGTGGGCCAGGCACGGTGGCTCATACTGTAATCCCAGTGCTTTGGGAAGCTGAGGAAGGAGGATCACTTGAGGCCAGGAGTTCAGGACCAGCCTGGGGAAATCCCTTCTCTACTAAAAATACAAAAAAATTAGCCAGGCATGGTGGCATGTGCCTGTGGTCAGCTACTCAGAAAGCTGAGACATGAGAATCGCTTGAACTTGTGAAGTGGAGGGAGTTGAGATTGCGCCACTGCACTCCAACTTGGGTAACAGTGAGACTGTCTCAAAAAAATTTAGGGGCCGGGCGCGGTGGCTCAAGCCTGTAATCCCAGCACTTTGGGAGGCCGAGCACTCTTGATCTCACGAGGTCAAGAGATCGAGACCATCCTGGTCAACATGGTGAAACCCCGTCTCTACTAAAAATACAAAAAATTAGCTGGGCATGGTGGCGCATGCCTGTAATCCCAGCTACTC